GAGAGGACTGAATATATGAAAAGATAATGGGCAAAGTATTGGTTTATTTTATCCTGAGGAGAGTGACAGATCTCTGCAGTGCTGAACTTTTGGGATGTGAAAAGGGCCTTAAATCGAATGGATTGGAAATATCTTTTTCGTTTTTTGGATTTTTTGATAAATATATTACGTTTATGCTGAGTTACATGGCAAGAGATTTATTTGGATTGGGGCACGCAGAAGATCTGGTTGTTACCCTATTATGGTGGTTGGAATTAATAATCTGGATAAAAGACACCTCTATAGATATTATATGGAATATAAATATAAAGTCACTCGGGTGGTTGTTGTGGGGTTTTTTTTTTTGCAATATGAAGATATTTGTTAAGGATGGGGGCAGATGGTAATTGAAGATTGAAGATACTGAAAATACTGTTGGAATTAGGATGCGATGTTACCCTAACATGGGCGATGGAGTTTATCATCCAGCTGAAAGACATTACAGAAGATATTATATGGATTACAAGCTTAAAGTTTTTTTTTTTTTTTAGGATTTTATTTACATAAGGGAATATTTTTCTAGTTGAGTGGGCAGAAGAATAAAGATATTAATATGGTAGTTTTGTAGGAAAGTGGGTGGAGATAGGTTAGGTTACTGATTGTTTGGTTTAGTTTAAAGAAAAGGGATATTATGTCTAGATGTGAATATATGTAAAAGATTTGAGCTAAGAGATATAATGGATTTAGGATTTACTATATAGTCTTATGGTGGAAGGTTGTTTTGAAATGTTATATTAATATATATAAAAGATTTGACTTAAGAGATATATGGGGGGTAGTAAAAGGGTAGATTATGAGCGGAAATCGCTAAATTGGGAGATATAATAATATTATTATGTTAAATTAGGAGTTATTAGATAATGTTATAATAGAATGTCACTTTGAAATGTATAGTACAGTATAGTATAAGGGGGATATGATAATTTTATTAGAAAGAAAGGGTCAGCATATGGAGATGGTGTAAGTGGATGGTAAAGTATGATATAATCTGTTATGAATTTGGGTTTTATTATGAAGAAGTCACAGGGGAAGGGGAGGGTGAGGGTGGGTTAGGGAGGAGGGGGGGAAAAGGGGGAAAAATCTGTATTTGAAAAACTTTTTCAATAAATAAATAAATAAATAAATAAATAAATAAATAAATAAATAAATTTATTTCTATACTGCTCTTCTCCCGAAGGACTCAGGGCAGTGTACAGCCTATTAAAAACACAAAGACAAACATCAGTTAAAAATAATTAAAATTATTACATAATTTTGGCTGAGATTTAAAACCCCAAGAATTTAAAACACCCAATTTAAAAATCGTTACATTGATAGCCCGGCTTGACGGAACAGAAGTCGGCCTCGAAGGTACCCGGGTCCTATGCCATGGAGCGCTTTAAAGGTGGTAACCAACACCTTGAATTGCACCCGGAAGACCACTGGGAGCCAGTGCAGCTTGTGCAGGAGGGGTGTCATGTGGGCACAATGGGTTGCGCCCATAACCACCCACGCGACCATGACTTGCCACAGAGTGCCAACTTCCCCATTGATTTTGCTTATTGCAAACCACTGGGGAGGTTTATAAATGGCTATTATATGACTGTGGGATGCTGCAACTGTCATTAATATTGCCAAGTGCCCATGGAATGCTGTAATGGCCATTAGTACAAAGACAGGACATAAGTAACTTTTTTCAGTGCTTTCATACCTTCATATAGTCACAAAACAAATTGTTGTTAAGCAAGAACTACCTGTATAGAAAATAATCTATCACCAATCTGTATATGTTATGGAAAAGAATAAGGAAGTACTGTATATTCTTACTGCCTGAAATATAGGTAGAATACAGAGTGTATGGGGACCTCTAAATGCATTTGTATATTGTTTTCAGTCTATATAACATTAAAAAAATAAGTATGAACAGAAACATAGTAGTTATGAAATTCAGAGATATCATATTTGGGTTGCAAAAACTTAATACAGATAGCCTGTATCACCTGGATTTTTGCAGCCCAGATCTTATAGTCTTAATAAAATAGCAACATTAAAACATGTGTTCCAGACAGTGTTAAGCAGTTGAATCCATAAATCTGATAGATAAATTATAAGAACCTGTTCAACTTTCTTTTTGAAATTGGCAGGACTTCAAATCACTTCTGATCATAGAAATCCCTCCAGAGAGGTGGATATAACAGACAGTAGTTTCCAAGCCTGGTTGCAAGGCAAGAGCATTGAAAGTCTAGAAGATTGTCACAGCAATTGTCATTTCCTCCTTGGGGCTGTTCTCTTCACCTTTCTCTAAATTCATCCCTGAGTTGGGATTCCGCAGCACCTGTTGTTACTACCACCACATACTAAATCAGATGCTGACTATTGGATCCTAGCATTTGCAGTTGGCATTGTTTGTTTTTGGTCAGTCTACTGCTGTTGGACAGAGAATTGGCTTCCCTGAGCTACTGCCTGCCCAATATGTTAGGGGAAAAAAAATCTTCTTAATGACAAGGTCTGGAAAAGGAAAATGTTTCTGCACCAGTTTTGAAAGTAACATGGAGACTGAAAGTTTTTGCAGGAGAAATGATGATACACAAAAAAGGAGATGCAAGTCAGTTTGTTTGTTTGTTTGTTTGTTTGTTTGTTTGTTTGTTAAAAAAATTCTCTTCCTCTTCATTATCACTACAATACCATATTAGTCCAATTAAGCTACAATTCTACACCAAGATCATCCCAAATCAGTTTTTTTTAAAAAATAGTCGGATATGCTAATTTGGTATACATTCAAGTAATATAGTGCAAACCATCACATTTTCCATTGAATTGTAACTGGAAAAGAAATTAAACTAAAATGCACAATTGTTGTCATATGTTACTTTTTCTTTTACTATCATGTGACTTTTCCTAATACATGGATGAATGCTTCAGGAAGACCCAGATTTCCTCCTATTTTCTTTTGAAAGAAAAATGCTTGCAGTGGATTTAAGTGGCCTGAATCAAACTGGGATTTAGGGTTAGTATCACTATGGGTTTGTCCTTTCCTGTCAATTTTCAGGTGACTCCTATTATTTTCTTAAATTGTGTTTCAAAACATCCATGGGGATGGAAAGGCTGTATTTGCATTGAACAAAAGTGGTTTATAAATAATAGAAGAGGGATAGTACATCTCATGTTTAGAAATTTGTTTTTTTTTTTTTTTTACAAAGAATGTTTATTAGAATGAGTGTAGAAGAGCAACAAAAATGATTAGGTGACTGGAGGCAAAGCATAAGATGAACAGTTGTGGGAACTAAGCATACCTAGTCCAACAAAGAGAAGGACTAAGAGTGAGTTGATAATACTCTTCCAATAGGGGCTGTCACAGAGAAATGGGGGTCAACCTATTCTCCAAAGCACCTAAGGGCAGGACAAGAAGCAATGGGTGGAAGATTATCAATAAGAGATCTAACCTGGAATTAAGGAAAAAATTCCTGTCAGTGAAAATGATCAGTGAAATGGCTTATCTCCAAAACTTGGTGCTCCATCACTGGAAAATTTTAAGCAGAGATTGGAATGGACAGCCATTTGTCCAGAATGATGTAGGATCTCTGCCTGAGCAAAGATTAGAAGACTTCTAAGGTCCCTTCCAACTATATTATTCTGTATTCTGTAAATTTTTTTTTAATTTTGTTTACAGGATTTTAACAATGATAAATACTTCTTTACTTTCCTTTGGTGATAAAATATGTATTTATGTAAGTAGAACAATATTTATTAAAGTGTTGGAAACTATGTAAATAATAGTCATTATATATTGACTAGATGCCACACAATTTATCTTGCTTTAACAGTGTTTCATGAATTCTGGTACCTAAACTGACATGCAGTCCTTATGTTTAAAATATGTGTTGCAAAGAAAATGGCAGAAGTTTGGAAAGTAATAAAACAAGTCCAAAATTCATTGTGCTGCTATATATCTGAAGATGGCATCTGTTTTCAACATATATAGATTATTGCTGACTCATCCAGGAGAAGAGTTTTCAGTATCCCATTTCCAATTTTATACAGAAAGAAGAAAAAAATACTAATATTGTGACTGGAAAACTTTCCTCTGAAATGTGATTCATCATCTCCCTCTAGGGATGATTCAAAGAACTCTGGGAAATAAATGAATAAAACATGAATCAGAAAAGATTGGATTGTTTCTGGGCACATCCAGTATATGTATGTCAATATTCTAGTATATGTTATAACACCATGGAGTCATTTCGGTTCTCTGGGCATCTTTCTTCCACTGACTTTTAACCCATATTTCATGTAGGCATTTTCAGGGTGGCCTTAATTCTTATATAACAACTTTATAAGAAAGACAAGATTCTTGCTTGTGGGTGATGATAATACACAACATTGCAACTCACTAATTTCATTGTGTATAGTATTCCATGATATCTTCATTGATTATTTTGTGTCAGCTTTGTCAGATTATGACTTCTCTTGGAGGACTGTCAAAACAAAAGCACATAGATACAAATTGCAATAGTTTCTCAGAAATGTTCTCCTTTGAACACCGAGTGTCAAGTCTGTGAAATAAATTACTTTTGAATACTTTAGTAACAGATGTCAGCCATCTTGCTTATCACTGAACAAGCCACATTTGAACTAAACAGCCTAGTATCACATTGAGGGATGGGATTGCTGATTGAACACAGGTGTAATGGTTGATATACTGTCACAGAGTCTGACATTAACCTAAGATCTTTGTTGAAATACTTATTACTGATGGCACGGAATGTAATTGCTAATTTTCTGCCTGAGTGGTTACATATTTTCTCCAATTCTTAAGAGTTATTCATCCTTTTCCCACTGCCCATTTCTCAGAGTTTAAGGCAGATGTGTCATTGGTCCACGGACCAGTAATTGAACCTGTCACTTGCAATCTACTGACTTCATTCCTCAGAAATGTGACTACTGCTTCATTCACCTTCTTGCTTATTTTTTTTTCCTTCTAGGAATCAAATGTCTTACTTGAACCTGAAGCTAAGAGATGTTCATTGCTTGCCTTTAGAGATCTCTGATCACCAAGCAAAGAAACCGGGAGCAACTTTTTCTGATTGTGGCTTTGCATTCATTGTGCAACTCTGACTCCAAATAAGCTGCCCTTTCCAAGTCTAATTTTAATAAATGAATCAATCAGATTGTGGGATTCAGTTCAAAACCCAGGAGACTAAAGTGCCTCAGAGGCTGTGACTGCACAAAATTCAGACATACCAATATTTTTGTCTAGAGTTAATCCCAGCAGCCGCCGTGACCTTCCAACGGATGAAATAGAGAGAGCTGAGAAGTTTTGATGCCTGGTCAATCAGGTGTTGTTAACAATGCAATCTCCAGTGAACCTTCTTTTTGAGTTATTTTCAAAAAGGCCATGTGTAAAAAATGCCTATATTTATACAGCATTGTGTTAACTTCACAAAGGGAGGGGAATGATAAATTTTCAGGCATAAAGCTGCAGCTGTCATCAGCAATGCTCACTAATTTTAATCAAAATGTTTTCAAAGCAGCAGTCCTGATTTAGGGCTGAACACATGTTATACCCACTCCCTTCTTGAGGCTATTGTGGAAAGCAATCAACCAAGGGAAAAAAAATCCTTTAAAGATGTCCAATTGATATCATTTAATGTCATGGCATACTTATATTAAAATCCTTTCCTCCAAGTCCACTTTTTTGATGCCCAATGGTGGTACTAAACAAAGTTGCTAGGCTGGATGACAGCTCAGTTCTTCCGTTTCTAAATTACAACTCTCAATTCAGTGTGAGGGGACCCACAGTGTCCTTACTTGTGATCAAGAGGAGTATCAATAGGTCTGAGGGGACCAGTTCATAGTTCACACAAACTCTGTAGAAATAAATATTTGTGTCATATATATTCTGCCAGTGTTCTTATCAATTTAAAAGCATGTATATCTCATTTCTATAACATCTACAAGTATAAAATTAGGTCAGGTTATCCAGTCTTGTTCAATCTGTACATAATGATCATATCAGTGTGATGTTGTTGCTTTTCTACATATTGAAATATTTTTGATGGCTCTTGTTTGGAAACTATTTTGTTTTATGCACTTGACCATCCCAGAAAATGTCTTTTCTTACAAAAATAATTAGGCAACTGAACAAAATATAAAAGCAAGCTACATTTTGCTGAGAGCATCTTGAACAAGTTATTGCCATTTAAACCATGAACTTACTTTCTTTCCTTCCTTCCTTCCTTCCTTCCTTCCTTCCTTCCTTCCTTCCTTCCTTCTTCTTTTTTTTGCACATCCAAGAAGTGATTGGTAATGTTCTAATCTAGCCTTAGCTGGGCAACAATTTATAGCATATTGATAGCATATTATGCTTCTCAAATAAAATGCAGTCATACTCTTTTAGAGGTCAGAGCTCATTTCATTTACTTCCACTGATTTTTTTCCTATTTAATGAGATAGTATAAAAATGTTAGATCAGCACATGTACTTTCAGATATGCTAATCAAATGATAGTCAATTGCATATAGGTTGTAACAGAGACTAATATAGCACATAGTTTAGTATAGTTTGCTCACTTGACTGCTTCCAAAGCTTTAGTGAAGTTAAAATTTCTACTTTGAAACTTTCGGGAAAACATCTATAGACTGGAATGCTATATTTTCAGCAGCCCTAAAATCTGACTGAGAAGACTTCATTTGTTTGTTATTTTGAATATTTATCAGCTACTGTTCAGTCAAAATTCGTACAGCAGTTTACAATAAATAAATAATGATTCAGTACAACAAAAAGATAGAATAAAGCAAAACAGTAGTAAGGTTCTATCACAATGTAAAACTGAACAATCTGAAAAGATTGGGCTAATAAAAACATTTCCTTTTAGTACTGAAAGGAGAGGAATATAAGATGATGCCTCAGGCAGCTCTTTGGAAAGATCATTTTAAAGGTAACCACCAAAGTAGAAAAGGATCCTCCCACAATGCTCCCTCCCCTCAATTAATTCAGAGAATGGAGAAACTTGCTGCTACATCAAGCGATGATTGTCAATATTTAGGAACATTTATATAGGAGAATATGAATTTTCAGATACATGGCTTCATGAATCCTAGGGCTTTAGAACTCAAAATCTGAGTTATTCTCAAAAAGTGTTGAGTAGGTGCTACATCTATTCCAACTGCCCAGATACAAACTATCATCAGAGTTATTGATAAAGAAGGTGTTCTTTTTAAAAATTAATTGCATTCTAGAAACATTCTTCAGTGATAGTTTCCATACAAAGTTATTTTCAGCAGTTAACCTTAAATGATATTAGTGCACTTGGTTGTTATGTCAACCAAACTAACTTGATCATCAAAAGCAGGCATATTTATTTATTTATTTTATTTATTTATTTGTCAAGAACGTATTAGGTAATATATATAAGTATAAGCATGAATTGAATACATAAAATAGATACAAATAGAGGAAACATTAGGACAGGGACAGCAGGCACGCTGGTGCTCTTATGCACACCCCTTACGTGCATATAAGATATATAAGATATATCTTATGCATATCCAGAATCTTGTCTATCCTCTGTCCCATGATCATTTTTAACCACGATCAACAGATTGTTTATGTCACTTGAACACTGTGGCTGGTCACTTCTGTTTGTGCTACCTGGAATTTGAAACTAATACCTAACTTTGATTTCAAATTCATGGCAGCACTTACAAGAAATGGAAGTTGTTCCAGCTACAGATGATTAAGAACTGAGTGCAGTGGAGGAAAGTAATACGATGTTATGCATAATCTCATTTACTGTGCTTGTTAACTTAGTAACTGTTTATCAGGATGCATAAATATTGAAGGTGGTTTATAATTACATCCAATAAAAGAATCTTGAGTCACTGAACCCATAGGCCTTCATAAATAGGATATCCCTGACTGCAACCTATTCAAAAGAGAAACATGCTAGTTAGTATTTTGTAATCAAACTGAATTACCTACTCATAATATCTGTCTTGTCTAGTTTGAGCTTCAGTGAGGCAAGTTGCTACTAATTTACAGTGTAGAAGAATTAACGTCTTGATTTTCTACCATCTGTACAGAATCAGGGTGGTTCATGTGCTACAGAACAAAGCATTCATTAAAAAAAAATCCAAGGACAATGACGATAAAAGCAAATAGTAATTGGTCCATTTCCTATCTAATTCAGTAAGCGTCATCAAAAACTGATTAAATTGAATTTTTTTGTTGCTCTTACTCAATGCAAATGCTAATATAGAATATAAAACATTTAGAAGGTCATTATAGAATTGATCTGCAGTAATGCAAAGGTTTTACAGCTTATTTATATGCACTGATTAATTGCAACAGAAATAACAACTTGGAACCTAGTCTGCACAAATGTTAACATTTTATACTAAGATTACAAGCTAGAATGATACCGAATGGGATATATGAAATGTTATAGAAAGATCTAGGGTAAGAAGAGTAGCAGTCTTATCTGTCTCTCTGTATCTTTGCTGAAATCATGATTTCATTGATTTTGAATGAGTTTGTTCAGGAGACTGTGCTTCAGATGGGAGGTTAATAGCTCAAGTTAGACTAATAGCAGTACCAAAAGAAAATCACCCTTTCCCTAACAATGTTGTCCCATTTGAGATTTATCCATTTTAAAATACCCTTAGGTGAAGAATGACAAAACCAAAGTAATCTTGTTCTGAATTTGAGTGAATGTATGGACTCTGACAGTATTGAATGTTACATGTTGTGGTCCGCCAGCAGCCTGTGGACCTGGCAGTAGAGTCAGATAGTGAGGAGGCTGTGGAGGAACAGGGGCCAGTCCTGGAGTCTGGGGAAGGCCCAGACAACGGCTCTGCATCGGAGGCAGAGATGGGGCCAGGGCCATCTGGAAATGATGCATGGACTCCAGAGCCCTCAGAGTCAGACAGCAGAGAGGCAGAGGAACAGGAGGAGCCTGTTCCTAGTGCAAGCATTCGCAGAGCTGCCAGAAAGGAAGAGCAGCTAAAGCAAAAGGGATGACCCAGGAGTAAGGCCAGGAAATGATTGGCCCCTCCCATAAGGCTTAAAAGAGAAACAAAGGCACTTGGGTCTTTTGCAAGAAAGCAATATTGCTAACTGTTTCCAGTTGGCATCTCTTGTTTGTTTCTGAACTTCATGGGGCTTTGCCAAGTAAGGCCTTTGGAAGGGTGTCAAAGAAGATAAAGGTTGGTGATTATCCCGAAGGACTTCTTCCGAAGGACTTGTTTTGCAACTAACTGGAACTCAGCTGGGAATGAATGTAATTCTCATCTGTTACAATAAAATATGTTTTTTTGGAACTAATTGTGTGGGACTAATTTTTTGGGACTAATTGGGACTAATTGGGACTAATAATGACTCAGTAAGCCTAGGTCACAACACTACAAGAAGGAACACAGAACATAGAATAGTAAAGTTGGAAGGGACTTCAGAGATTTTCTAGTCCAATCCCTTGCTCAAGCAGGAGACCCTATTGCTCTTAGCATTAGGACATTTATCCTTAGTCCTAGGTTCCTTCTTTCCTTGATTAGTTTCCAACCATTGTTTCTTGTCTTGCCTACAGGAGGTTTGGAAAATAGTTTGACTGTTTTCTGTTTCTATTTAAATATTTAAATATATTTCTATTGACTATGTTGCTGCCCTACAAAGTGACCTTGACTAAGTGTTGAACCATTGGCAACTCCAAATCTCAACTAACAAATGCTCTGTCTTACATTGGCAAAAAAAAATCAGAAAACCAAATACAAGCTGGATGGATATGACCTGGATGGATAGATGACCCTCACTCTGTCAAGGACCTAGGAGTACTCATCTCAAATGATCTAAGCCCCAGAGCTCACTGTAACAGCATTACCAAAAAGGCATTAAGAGTTGTTAACCTAATTTTGCAAAGCTTTTTCTCTGGTAACACTGTACTGCTAACTAGGGCATACAAAACCTTTGCCAGACCAATCCTTGAATACAGCTCGCCTACCTGGAATCCACACTGTATATTGGACATTAATACTATCAAGTTGGTCCAGAGGTATTTCACAAAAAGAGTACTCCACTCCTCTGCTCACAATAGAATACCTTATGCCACCAGGCTTGAAATTTTGGGCTTGGACAACCTTGAACTATGCCGCCTACAGTCTGATCTAAGCATAGTACACAAAATTGTCTGCTACAACATCCTACCTGTCAACAACTTCTTCAACTTCAGCTGCAATAAAACATGGCCGAACAATAGATGCAAACTCAAGGTAAACCGCTCCAAACTAAATTGCAGAAAATACAACTTTAGCAATAGAGTGGTCAATGCCTAGAATGCTCTACCTGACTCTGTTGTTGCTTCCTCAAACCCCCATAGCTTTAACCTTAAACTGTCAACCATGGACCTCACACCATTCCTAAGAGGTCTGTAAGGGGGCATGCATAAGCGCACCAGTGTGCCTACTGGCCTACTGTCCCATTTATTTGTACTCATTTCATGTGCTCATGTCCATGTTTATACTTATACCTGTTATCTCGTACATGTTTGACAAACTAAATAAAATAAATAAAAATCTTTGTTAATAGATCAAAGGAAGAAGGGGATAACACAAAATAATTTATACCTTTAAATGTAAATCAGGGCAAAGCAATTTATAGTAGCCAAGCATAGGGAATGGGGTATTGATTCCTATTATGATTTAATTCTACAGGGAAATATAGGATAAGAAATTATTGCTCTATTAACTATTTGTATTTATATTCTTTTACACTTGGGATGTTTTCTTAACCTATAATATAAAATGCCAACAAAAAATATAAGTGAAGCTGATAACGTCAGTTCTCTTACTAATATTCTCTTCTTTATAACGGAACCATGCAAAACATTTAGAAAAATACCTTCAGAT